CCATTGGAACAACGTTCATGAAGAATGCGGCCTCATCCGAGCTGTGTAGGTTGCTGAAACAGATCTTGCAATGTGACCCACGAAACTGGACTGGCAAGGGGCTGTAGGAAAAATGAGTTTGTCTTTAAGCTCTTCTTCCATTCATCCAAATTAGGCCTTAACATGCTTGAATTGCATGAATTATGCTCTCTTGCTCTATTGGCCTACAAAACACACAAAGGGAGGGAAATAACTTAGAATTATAGGAACTAAGCAAAAGAAGTAAGTAAATTGGGCATGTATATGTATGAAATTATGAGCTTAACAGTATAGTGTGACACAAGGTAAGACTTGCAGCTTTGAGTTGCATGTGCCTTACAATAAAAGGCTCTGCGGTTCTTCCCATGGTTGGTTGGCCTTTGTGGATGAGAATCTGGTAGTTACCCTCTTAAACCCTTTTACCGGGTGTACCATTAGCCTTCCACCAGTCGTCAAATCCACTTGGAGATCGACGGTAGCTTATAGATGTGATTACTACATTAATAAAGTTGTATTGTCTGCAGACCCTTCTTTTCTTCCTCCTAATGACTATGAAGTATTAGTCATCTATGATGGCTATGGGAAACAAATAGCCCATTTTAAGTCAGGGGACGATGCTTGGACTAGCATAGATCAAGTGATTGGATTCGATGATGTAATTTATTATAAAGGCCAGCTTTTAGGTGTTAGTTTGGGTGGTAGTGTTTTTTAGATGAATGTTAGCAGGGATCAAACTACTAAACCCCATGTAAGCTTACTTGTGCCAATGGATCCAGGCACTGACAATAAAACATACCTTGTGCAATCATCCAAGGGAGATCTTTTGCTGGTTAGGAAGTTCAAACGAGTAAATTATTGTAAGCGGTTTATGAAGTTTCTCGACTTCAAGTTTTTCAAGTTTGAAAGGTTAAAGTTTGAACGAGTAAATGGTTATGATCGTTTTACGGAGACTCTGAGCTTCAAGGTTTTCAAGTTGTTCTGTGCTCATGGGGAGAGACCCAATGGGTTGAGATTGAAAGTATTGGAAATGAAGCTCTGTTTTTGGGTACCAATCAATCCATGTGTGTCTCTGCGCTGGACTTTCCAGGTTGTCAGCCAAATTCCATATACTTCACTGATGATTGTGTGGATGTAGAATGCCATAAACCTAAAGGGCCTCATGATATGGGTGTCTTCAACTTGGAAAACAGAAGCATGGGAACACATTACTGCTTGGATCGTTCACAGAAGCACATGCCACCAGCAATTTGGATCTTGCCCTCTATGATGTGAAAAG